AGCGCTTCCCTGGCAAGCGCAAGGGCGTGAGTTCAATCCCCAGTTCTGAAAAAAAGAAAAAAAAGAGAGAGAGAGAGAGAGCCTCGGCATATCTTCAAGGTGGAACACATTCTTTTTAGAGAGTAAGAATGTCTTCTGAGGCAATCATTTTAAAAATAGAGCTAGAAAACATTGAATCCAGCAGCTTTACCTATATCACTCAGAACTTTCAGCCCTGCCTCTATGTGTCCTATTTTTCAATCCTCTCTTCTCCCACTAGTGACAGGCGTAATGAGGTATTGGTATCCCCTATGACACACACAATTCGTGTCCACCAGGAATCAGGACATGACCTTATTTGGGGATCTTTGCCACATATATTTGGTTAGGATGGGGTCAGCTGAGCACAGTGGCACATAAGGGTAATCTCAGCTACACAGGAGGCTGAGGCTGGAGGGTCATAAGTTTTTGCCCACTCTGGGAAAATTAGTGAGATCCTATCTCAAAATTAAAAAAAAAAAGGCTTGGAATGTTTCTGAGTGTGTAGGCTCTGGGTTCAATCCCAAGTACAGACAAAAACCCCAAAATATGAGGCCATAATTGAGTTAGTTGTCCTTCAATCCAATGCCTGTATCTGTCGCAAAGGAGGGGACACAAACATACACATAGAAAAGATGGCTCTGTGTCTGTGACAGTGAGGTCAGACTGGACTGATTCAACGATAAGCCAAGGAAAGTCAAAGGCTGCCATAAGTCATAGAATTTAGGGACAAGCACTGAGCAGATTTTCCCTTGCGCCCTCCAAAATATACTTACCCTGCTGAGACCTTGACCTCAGACTTCCGGTCTCTGGAATTGTGAGACTAAATTTCTGTTTTTTTCTGCCACCCAGTTGCAGTAATTTGTAATGGTAGCCCTAGAAAGCTAGCATAATAGGGAAATGGACAGAGGACTTCCCTGGGATGTTGGAATCGTTTAGTTGACAGGAGAGGAGAGGGCAGAGCTTTGTGCTAAAGTATGACTTAGTAATACTGTCTCTTCACGCTCCACTGGGAATGCTCTTTTGGACTAAGTATAATCAAAATCAAACCAGTAAGTGCTGCCTTTTCTATTTCCACTTACACTTTTGAGAGAAGAAAACTATGTTTATGAGGCATACAGGATGTACCAGACAATGTGGTGAATAGTTTCATATTTCTCTTAATGCTACCAGCTCCGCTGGGAGATAGGAGGTATTGTGCCCATTTTGCTGCTTAGGAAACTGAGGCTCATAGAATTTTTCAACAGTTGACTTGAGAGCCCAGTGCTAATAGGGGTGGATCTACAATTTGTTTCTGGGCCTTCTTTTATGACCTATACTGTTTCCAACAAGATATTTTGGTCTTGTAGAAAGGGATCTATTTTATTTTATTTTATTTTATTTTATTTTATTTTAAACATTTATTTATTTATTTATTTATTTATTTATTTAGTGTGTGTGTATGTGGCCAGCTCAACCCACCAGGGGGAGGGGCTGGCTGGCACGTGGTGCTGGGGGATTGAACCGCGGTCCCTGTGTTTTGCCAAGCTTGTTCCAAGTAGGTGCTTTAGACCACTGAGCCATCTCACCAGCCCAGGCATCTATTTTATATTAGAAAAAAAAGTAGCATGGTTACAGTGTAAGTGCTGGAATCCCAGGTATGGAATTTGAAATAACTGCCTTTTTGGTAGAAGTGGGCCCTCCCTGGAAGGCCCTCATGTCTTTTTTTTTTTTTTTATTGTACATTTTTAAAAATTTTTATTTATTTGTGTGTGTGTGTGTGTGTGTGTCCAGCTCAGCCCACCAGGGGGCGGGGCTGGCTGGCATGTGGTGCTGGGGGATTGAACCGTGGTCCCTGTGTTTTGACAAGCTTGTTCTAAGTAGGTGCTTTAGACCACTGAGCCATCTCACCAGCCCCCCCTCATGTCTTCATGTGGCAACACTTCCTGAAGCCCAGCAAGGCTGCCCGAGTAAGGGTGCAAAGGAGCAGATAATCTGACCTGAGTCAGACGACATGGGGCCAGGGTGGTGGCCTTTCTCAGGGAGGCATAGCTAGCAATGATGCCCCTGGAGGGCAGTCTTGTGCACAGAAATACTCTTTGCCCCTGCACCCCTTTCCACCATGCCAGGCCATTCTGCACGGGCCTTCTGATGTGGTGTCCATAACTTTCCAGGGTGATGAGACCAGCCTACTGAGCAAATAGCTACAAAATTTGAAGATTAGAGAGGCTGAGGGTCTTGTCCAGGTTATACAACTAAGAATGTCAAGACAAGACCTTCTCCTTACCATATAGTTCACTGTCAAAGCAAAAGCCAAGTAATTCCTGCTTACAAAGCACTTTATACCTCTATGGAAGCCTGAGAGGTGAGACAGAATCAGTTATCAATAGAAAGCTCTGTGGTCCAGGGATCATTGATTTGGCTGCTGAGACCCATTCCATCTCCCTGTATGTTGAGCAAGAGGTTGATCAACCAGAGGACCTCATCTGCTTGGCCACTACAACTGGGTGAGAAGTGGCCACATGGCCCAAGTGGGACCAATCACAATAATTTTCTCTTGGGGCTGGAGGTTGGTAGAGATTGATTCTTGCCAACAAAGATAGAGAAGCAGACTCCAGAGCAAGAATCTAGATTGGGATGGGGTGGGTGGAGTAATGGCAATCTTCATCCTGGGTCTTTCTGTGCCAGAAGCGAACCCCTTTTGCATCCTGTTACCTTTATTGAAACTGCTTTGAGTTATTTACAAAAGGATTGCAGGTAATCCAGGCATTCTGCATATAGTTGATCAATTACTTTTGGCTATTCGTTGAGATAGATTAACAGACCCAAGGCAACTGAGGGCTCCAACAACAAGTTGATTTCACATTCATGTAAATAAAGAAATGTGGGTGGTGGAGTAGACCTGAAGGAAAGGAGACTGCAGCTTTGTTTCCCCACCTTCATAGGAGGCAGAGGCCAGAGACCCCTCCAACTCCAACATGTGGCTTTAGGTCACCTTGAGTGTGAATACTGGCCAAAGGAAAGGAAGAGAATGTGCATCAGATGTGGATAATCTTTATGGGCCAGGCCTGAAGTTCCCAAATATCAAAGCAATGACAGGCCCAGATAACAGGAGAGAAGGCTGGGAAGTGTAATTTGGTTAGTGCCTGACAGGTGAGGAAATCGATTTTGTTGACAGCTCTCAGTTTCTACCTTATGTGGTAAAAGTCTTCCAAATCTTCTTACTTCCCTCTCTGCTCCTGCCCTACCCTTCCACTCCTACTCAGCACCTGCTCTTGGGGCCAGGCTCAGGACTTATGGAGGAGAGTGCCCTGGGGTACACCCCTGGAGCAACTCAGGAAGAGGACCCTCCTGGGCTCTCCAAGCAGAGCCTTCTTAGGTTCACCATCTGACGCAGCACGAGGGAGGGTGCAGCCACAGTGCCTCTCTGGGAAGGCTTCACTGCTGAGGCAGGCTCTGCAGGCCTTGCTGTCTGGTCCCAGCCTGCTGAGCATTGTTCTTTTTGACACCTAGAGAAATGGCATCAGAGGTCTCAGCCTGGCCTAATTCATTCCCCTTCCACTACAGAGACTTGACCTAGGAGTTCAACACTATGGTCTAAGGCATGGAAGTCCCCAGGTCACCAGAGACAGGCTTGCTCTCCTGTGGCTCAACATAGCAGGCGCCACCGCTGAGCCTCCAGGCCCTGGGATGCCCAGTCACCTACTGCAAGCTCCTTGAGAACCTTGGAGAGCACCCAGCCTCCAGCCCCACTCCCTCAGGTTGGGGACTTTGCAGAATCACGGCTGAGTCTCAGACCCCACCCCCAAGCTGCCTGACGAAGATCTGGCATTGAAACCAGTGGAAAGCACCCCAGTGAGACTACTGCATGCTGGATCCTCTAGGCCTGGCCGTGCTCTGCTATCTCAGCATCCTCTGCTTGGTTAAATATCTGCAACATTAATTATTACAATTTATTAAATCTGGAGAAATAAAATCTTACTGCCTTCCTCTCACCACCACCCCAGCCCCCCCAAGAAAATGGAGTATCTTATTTTGCTAACTGCTTAAACATAAAACTCCCTCAGAAAAAAATTGTCCCCACAGCTCATATTTTTCATCATTTGGTCATTAAATAGTGATGGATATAAACCTATAAAGAACCTAAACTGAACCTTTTAACAATCCATGAGCAATACTATCATTTCTTTAATAGAACCTGCTGACCGTGCCGTGCACGGGCACCATTTGTCATTTTCAGCACGCGATAATCAATAAGTTGGCTTGAAAATAAATAATATAACAGTCACAATATATTATCTTTCAGACTGGCCTTAGACTAACCATAGAATGGGACCCAAACAAGACAGAAACTTTTACATAAATGTTAAAAAGTTGTAAGGGCTGGCCTGATAGCTCAGTGGACTAAAGCACCTGCTTAGGCAGAGCGCAGGGGCTGGGGTTTGATCCCCAGGCCTGCCATGACAGCCCTGCCCACAGGGCACACTGAGACAGTGACTGAGATAGGGCATGGTGGTGTGCACCTGTAATCCCAGCACTTGGGAGGCTGAAAAGGGAAGGATCATTACAAGTCCTATCTATGTAGTGAGACCCTGTAGACCCTGTATACCTTATCCTAAATACAGAAGAAAAAAAAATAGTTGTGAACATCACAGTTAGGCCTAATGCCTGACTTGGATGTGAGCTCAGTGTGCCTGTCCCTGAGGTGCTCTGAGTTTTTCTAAATTGACCTGGGAGGCTTCCTACTGCTTGTACTGTGTGAGTAAGAATTCTAGAGTTGGGTATCAGGTACGTGAGGACAAATGGAAGAGAGTTTTGTTGCAGACTGAAGTACACAGGGACAGACAAACCCAGGGTCACTCCAGGCATCAGTCCCAGATTGCCAGCTTTAGACAGAAAAGGCATGACAGGTCCTATACTCAAAGCTGGGAAGTAGTTTTCTTAGATCCAAGAGGAACCATAGCTCTGATTCAGCATCAGAATTTGGTGTATGAGGGGACAAGATGGTGCCACCAGTACAGATCACTCCACTCATCAAGCTCGGCCACTCCACTCTGGTTGTCTATATCACCTATGGAGCCAAGTGTTACAGTTACCTGAAGCCTCAGACAGAGGAAGAGAGGAGGGTAGCCATAGAGGAGAAGAGGCAGGATGAGCTGAAATGGATTGACAGAGAACTGGCTGAAGCCCGGATGACAGCATACTGAAGTGAGAGGTTCCAGCAGTTTGCATTGCTCCAGCTCCAGCAGATAAATAAAGCTTTTGAGTTATAAAAAAAAAGAGATTTGTGTCCTATGGGACAGAAGTGTCACAAAGAATGCAGGCCATCAACTGGCATCAATGGGAGAGGGTTCTGGAAGCAGCAATATAGTGTCTTGTGGTCACTCTGGTTTATGTGGCCCTCAGTGGCCTCTCAGCAGCTTGGCCTGAGTTTGTTAGCCGTCTGGAGCTGCTTCTCAACAGTAGTGATCAGCCTACATTCCTGGTTTGCTCATTTGTTCATTCTTTCATGCATTCATTCGGCAGGAGGTTATAGCGAGCCTACTTAAGTGCCAGATGCTCTTCTATGTATCAGAAATACAGTAGTGGGACAAACAGACACTTCCCACCTCCAATCTTCTGTGCTAGTCATGACAATAGAACAGACATGCTGTGTCATCTACAGTATGTGTGGAGGGTGATCAGTGCAAGAGAGATCAAAAAAACAGGGCAAGGGACAAGTGCAAGTGCACACCTTTTGCACCAAGGCCTGCCGGGTCTCAGGTGCCTGAGCCTTCACTCAGGGTGTCCTGTCCAGCCCCAGACCTGCCTTGAGTCCCTAGATTCCCTAGAAAACAGTGGGATCCTACTGTCATTGTATGTTGGTCAGCACGAGCCTGAAGCTGGCAGCTGGTTCCCACTTCATAGCTCGGAGCCCTAAACTCAAAGGCACCATATTGCCGGTGAGTAGGATGACCAGAAGTCCCTATTTGCCTGGGACTTCCAATGCTAAAGGAAGTCCTAGGCCATCCAAGCTCACTGGGTCACTCCCTTGAGCCTAGTCTTTCCATCCTGCTATACCCAAACCCCAGAGGGCATCTTCTCACTGTTACATTCCTGGGATGGTCTTGTGGCAGTTGGAGACAGAAATTGTCACTCTACATTTAAGTATGACCGTGCTGACAAAGATGAACTTAGACAATTTGGACTGATCCACACAGACGCTGGCATCAAATAGAACTACAATCTCTGCCTCATCACTCACTACCTGGATCACCTTCATCAAAGTGCTGAACCTGTTGGGGCTTCCATTTTGCCATCTGAGAATAGGGATACATAAACTTTTTTAGCAGTGTCGTTAGGAGGATTGGATTTATGCCTCAGGTGTAGCCTACAGTTGGTATTTCATAAGTGGTGATGTAATCTTAGAGTATTTCATCCCAGAAATAAGGGAAGGACTGCTATACCTACAGGAAAGCATGCAGGTAGAATCCAGAACAGCCACATTTATTATGAATCAGATCCCCATGTGGAGCCAAAAATACGCTCCCTGGGTAGTATCTCTGTGACTGATATTAAAAATGACTGATTTAAGAGAAAGTGCTTCACCCCTGTTGCAAACTAAGAAGGTAGGTCTGGAGTATTCGCAGCCTTAAATGCTGCCAGTATTTCATCTTTGGGTAGTCATAAAGTTAAAGGTTAATAGGCTGTACAAATGACAGAGTTTAAAGGAAAAGATGGGGAGGGCATGAGGTACTCTAGGACAGCCGCAGGCGTGTTGGAGACAGGTGGCAGCTCACCTGGAAGGAGGAAATATGGAGCTGGGTACGCTCAGGGTCCTTGCCCCCTCTCAGTCCTTTTCCCATGTGGAAACTCCTCATTGTAAGAGCTTCTTTCTCATAGGTGGATTTCTTTCCTGGTAGGATCCAAGGACACTCAGCCCTAGAGAGATTGAGGCTGAGCAAAGATGTAAAGGTCAATGCTTTGGGGCTGGGGAGATAGCTCAGAAGCATAAGCACCTACCTGAGAAGTGCAAGGTCCTGAGTTCAGTCCCCAACCCTGCATGTCACACCAGCCCCAAAACCCCAAGCATGCTGACCTGGCCCCAAAAACCCAGGCTCACCCTGCCGTCCCTGTAACTGAGTGTGGTGGCACATGCCTGTAATCCTAGCACTCGGGAGTGTTGAAACAGAAGGATTGCTGCAAGTGTGAGAGCAGCCTGGGGACTTCAAAAATGAGCACAAGGCCAGCCCAAACTGCATGGCAAGACCCTGTCTCAAAAACAAACAAACAAAAAGAAAGTCAGTGCTTGATACAGTCCTGGAAAAGTGGGGCTCAGTGGCCAAGGAACAAAGCAGGCGGGTTGAGGTGGAATTGTAGGAAGCTCCATTTTTGTGAGCTCGTCCTGTGGTCAGAGTTGCAGAACTCAAATCTGAGAACACATCAGACTATCCAGGGAGTTTGCTGTTCAACTGCAAATTCCTGAGCCTCAGCCTAAGGATGGCAATGAGCCCAGGAATCTTTATTTCAAACATTCCAAGGTGAATCTAAAGTGGCTCTAAGTTGGAGAATTCTGTGGCACACTTTGAGGAACCCTGGATCAATGAACGCACTGGAGTCTACCTTCAGAGTTAGATTCCTGGATCTTCAGTAATGATAGATTTGAGGTTTATCGAACCATACTCTGCACCCTGATCAGCCAGGCTCTTGTTGAAACTAAGTCCCGATAACTTCATCTGCCAATAAAAATCTTGAAGATGCGAATGAGCAGACCATGGTGGGAAAAGCACCCCACCCTCAAAATGAGGCCAGCAGGAAGGAGAAGTCACATCCAGGAATGACCAGTCCAAATAGTAGAGCCAGTCATGGAATCCCAGGCCAGGGCTCTTCCCACTGGCTACTAGCTTCCCATAGGCAGCAGTGTCACATGCCTGCTGTGGTGAGCCAGGGTCTTCCACTCCTCTTTTCTGCAGGTGAGGGGACCAGCTTGGCCCGGAATCAACAGGCTGGGAATCAACAGAGGTGTGTGTGAAAACACCCTGACTGCAGATGAATACATGGGCCCTAAAATTCAGAATATGCTAACTCTGAGGTTTTAGGCAGAGAAAGATGCGCACTGCCTGCAAACACAAATTGGTCTAGGGAGGGTGCAGCTGTTAAATTCAACTGAGCACAGTTGAGCTGTGAATCCCCTCTCTGGAAAGACTTTGGAACTGGATATCTTCATACACACCCACAGTACCTTTCCTCAGGAAGCAGTGTGACAGATTACACAGCATGTCGCTTTATCTCCTTACATTCTCATTTTTAATACCACAAAAATAGATAAGACTGTGTCATTTTAAAGATGAAAAAACTGAAACTCAGAACAGCCAAGTGACTTCTCCAAGGTCACTGTGTAAGCAAAATAATGACTCTAAAACATTTATATCCTGATTCTTGAAATTAAGGAATATGTTACCTTATACAGCAGACAGACCTTTGTGGGTGTCATTAGGGCGCTGAGATGGCACTGTCATCCTAGATCATCCTTGTGACTCTATGAGTTCTTACGGAAGCCGAGCGAGGTGTCACATACCTGGAGTACCTACAGCTACTCCAGAGGCTGAGGCAGGAGCATCACAAATTTGAGTCCCAGCCTGGGCAACTTAACGAGGTCCTGTCTCAAACATTTAAAAAGGCTGCAGATACAGCTATCTGGTTGAGCATTTGTGGGTTCAATCCCCAGTAAGGAAAAAAAAAAATCTTTTAAGGGAATTTTAGAGGACGAGGCAAGAGGATTACTGTGAATTTGAGGTCATCCTGTGTTACATAGCAGGACTCCTGGTCTCAAAACAAACCAACACAACAAAATCTTGGGGCCGGGGAGATGACTCAGTAGAATAAGCGCTTGCGTGGCAAGCACATGGGCCTGAGTTTAATCCCGGGTTCTACCAAAAACAAAATAAAACAAAACAAAATCTTATAAGGAAAAGAGGGAGGCAGAGAGTTGGTGAGTGAAGGTGAGAAGGACTCCACCCTTCTGGCTTTGAAGAGGGAAGAACAGAGCTGCAAGACAAGGATTCCTGGCAGCCTTTAGTCAAGGAGCTGGAAACGGCAAGAAAATGGATTCTCTTCTAGGCATTCAGAAGGAATTCAGGTCACCAGCACTTGGACTTTATCCTAAAGAGATCCATTTTGGATTTTTGACCTATAGGACTGCAAACAAAATTTGTGTTGTTTTAAGCCCTGACTTTGTGGTACTTCAGCAGTAACAAGCAGCCGATAAAACCACTCAGAAAGCAGCACAATTGAACCCAAAGGTGCTGCTTCAGTCCTGGTCCCCTTGGGGCCTCCACTGCAGGGACCAGCTGGAGACTATAGACCAAAGTGAGGGGAAGCAGTTTCTATTCCCAGCTACTGTTCCCCTCTAGGAGCTGGTGATAACAGCCATGGGATGATAAATTATTCAAACACCAGCTGAAGTCCCAGGCAAAGAGTGGCTACATCCCCCTTCTTCCTGTTCTCCTCAGCCCTCTTCCTCCTCTCTCCTTCTGTACCAGCTTCTCCTTCCCCAGAACATGACTTAGGGCATTGGACTCACCCAAACCCTAGGCAGAGACGCGGTCCTTCCCCAAGGCTAACCTGATGGAGACTCCTGCAGTACAGGAATTCTGAGACCCGCCACCACTGTCCTTCCTGTCCAGGCTGGCAGCCCTTCCTGGGACTCTGGCTGGGTCTGGAACCCTGGATGAGCCCCCTGCCCAACTTCAGCCCCTTGCCTTGAGGCTGCAGGACTGTCCCAGAATGGAGCCTCATGCAATCAATCTTGCCACGGTCTCCATGAATTTTAAATAATAGCAGCTTTGCTCTTTTCTCACTCTCTCCCTGGGTGCGTCAGACTGCAGCTTTTACAAGATCATATTTCTTCACATTTTCATACAATTATTTTAAATGGACAAGATAATGTTGAAATTCTTATTTAAAATGTATGCAGGTAGAGAATGAACCTTCCTGCTTTTTATATTTAACACCAGACGGAGCAATAGAAGGGAATTTTAACAACAGAATAGAAGTGGAAGTGTCTCGCGCTTTCATGATGGACTATGGTTTTAAGCAGCTGGTTTTCTATGATGAATAAATAATTACACCCAAAATAGACAGTTTGGCTATTATTAATCTCATTTTAGACTGTGCACATTTTATTGATTCTTAAGTACAGGAATTTTGCCATTTTCACCGAAGGGTG